AACTGCCTATCAAGGTTTATTAAAGTAGAAAGTTGGGAATTTCGGTGTCTCGACGAATTTATTGAATACACTGCAACAGCACAACAAATGCAGTGAAGTAAGAATAGCGCTCCACTGGATCAGATGGATTAGGCTGAAAAGACAGAAGCTAACCATATTTGGGGTAAATTTATGATCCAAGCGAGACGATACAATCACACAAGGACATTATTTTAAATTCAAACCCACTGGTGATAAAACAGTACACAATTTACTCTTGTATGTGAACAAACATCCCAGAAATCATTTCCAACTTGGATACTGAAGGATTTCATGATATAGATTTCGAATCACAGATTCACGGTAATGACGGACCAGCATGAGCAGTGCCGTAAACATCGAGCCGGTTGGAAAGTTGAACCGAAGAAGCAAGCTTTGTCAAGTATGTGCTTACCAATTATCGTAAAATCCATCGTTCGATCACTGCTTGTGAAATTGATCGAATTGACTGATTTTGTCCATCAACGGGAGTGTAATCAACTGGGTGTCATTTTTCTACAAGAAACCTGGCTCCACACTGATACTGATGATGAAATTATCACACTGGATGATTCTGATTCGTTTCGCGTCGATCGCCAGGCTCCGCACCGTGCACGTGGTGGAGAGCTCGTTACTTCTATAAATGAACTATGGTGCAATCGGACGTAAAGTATTTCTACGTATTTCACATACTACATCAGTGCCTCTGTGCTAGAGTTCAAACCTAAACACCTAAGTCATCACACATCAATAATTCTTGTTAACGTGTACATTTCCCCAACTTTTCCTCTCTCTGAGCTTGATGAATCTTCTGATATTGTCTCTATAAGTCTACCGAACTTTGTTGACTCTTTCCTATGTGTTGCCTTTGGTCATTTGAACAGGCTCAACATTAGATTCTTTACATCCCTTGTCCTGACGAACACTGTCACCTTCCCCACCAGACTTTACGCCACGCTCCACCTGTGTTGTTAATAATCCGGACTTGCTTCATATTGCCTGTCGTCCTCCACTTGGCTGTTCTGATCATGCGACTGCATGCATTGGGGAAGCCTTTAAGGCGAATGTGGGAGCAACCTATATATTCTGTGTGGGACGACTCAAAGCACCCCCTTCATCCCGATCTTGGAAATTTCCTATGAACATCTGCTATTCGATCGCAATACAAATATCTGTTTGTACGCACTAGAGCATATAAATTTTCTGTAGCTCCTTACCTTGCTCGTTTCCTCACCAACCCACATACCATCACTACCGACTTTTCTTAACCCGTCCCATTAAACACACGTTTTTCCTATAGCTGTTTTTTCACTGCTGATTTTTGCAGTGCAGTGGTTATGTTGCAGCTGAACATTAGCTCTCGGGTACATAAAGCACAAACCTGACTTGACTTGAGCGCTATTCGCGAATTTGAGGAGGACATAGGCACGTATTATTTAGCCTTGTTATCGTTTCTTTGGGATCGTGCGACTCGTTTGTCCTTGATTCAGAACCAAACCAACTTGATGAGTTTGATGGGTGACTGGGATGTTGAGCCAAGACCTATCAACCGTATTTTCGGAAACAGGTTAAGCTCGGAACTGTTCGCGTCCAAAGCTAAGAGGACAAAAGTTGCGAATGCGCATAAAATTATCCCGTTTATACGTAACACTTCCGTTTGAATATGAATTGGTAAGTGATGCTATTGGTGACAATAAATTTATTAAACAAAATACTACGGTAGGCCCCCTCCCCCAGCAAGAAACACTGGTCAGGATAGCTGAAATTGTTTCTTGCTGAGAGGTATTGCTTTCAGGAAGGGAGATGGTGATGAGGAAGTGGTAACATTTCTAACGCGGGGTTCGATAAGAGTGTCTTTCAGCGGTACTGTACAAAGTAAATTTGACCAGACGAACTTGTGTCGACTTGATAACACTAAGAAGAACTCAGTGTGATTCGCGGACAAAGTACGTGATACTGCGATGCGTCATCTCAAAGTTCATCAAAACCTGATACATGAACGGTTTAATAGCATCAGGATTGCCATTCAGATTATCGGTGTCTGGGTCACACTGACGGGCGAACAATATTGGTGTCTTATTATGAGACGGAAACCCTCCCACCCCGAAGCAACCAAAGTAATTATCACTATTGCTGCTTGACCCGCATAAGAATCGGTCAACACGATCAGAACTCACAAAACCCAACTTATTTAATTACAAAGTTGCGTGAGTGTAATGGAAGGGGAGTATCCTATAGCTTTGAAGGCTCACTGCACTATTAGGGATAGACGGCAACCAGACACTGAAATCTGGAGTGGAACACCATGTCAGGTGTAGTAATGAGTCAGGAAACTGATATCATACCCCTAGACAAAAGCGCACGACCAATTTTGTTCGGAAGACGAAATTCCTAAATATATTTGATCAGACAATGTTCCTTTTTAGGGGTTAAATCTCAATGAAAGTGTTTCTTGTTCGATTCGGGGGTTTTATTGCTTGGTAGGAGGTTTCATACGGAGAAAAATTTCTTTCAGAGAGGCCACTGCAAACAAGGAGGTTATAGTCTGGCCGGGGGGTACTGTATTTGATTGTATCAGTGTGATCTAATATAGCAGTTCCTTATCGATCTTATTGGTTGTCTTGCTCGGACTGACGGACGCGCAAATATAGCAAAGCGCACCATGTGCAACGTTCAAAAATTTAGCGCCACCCTAGGAGATTCGAATGTCCATTTTGGTCACTGATTAGTGGAACGAAGTGTATCAATCAAAACCACCAAGCGCAAATTAGTGTCACCGAATTGGACTTCCACAGTTTTACTGTTAACGCAGACGGATACCAGTCGGATTCATATCGTTTCAGACCACTAATCGAAATCGAGTTACCTAAGAATCAGGTGCACTTACGATAAATTCCGGGATGCGTGTAGTACTATTCCCGTTTCACCCCGAACTTTGTAACACGAGCCCAACCATTGTTTTAGGCCCAGTCGTCCGATCTTTGGCAGTAGGACGATCTTACAAAAATATATTGTTAACCGACCAATACTAGCTCTACTCGCACCATCTGAACGAGCCGTGCCCATAATCGGCACATTCCAATTGGGCATTGGAGCAGTTCTGGAACAGGATGAATATCCAATCATGTGAATCTCTCGTCTTTTCAGTACGGCAGAGAAGGTCTTTTCCCAGATGCAGAAAAAAGCTTTGGCCGTTTTCTGGGAGGTACGTAGACTACATAAGTACCTCGTGGCACTGACGTCTGCGATTTCCAGTGACCACCAATCTCTTCAGTTCCTATATAACCCAGACAAATCTATCGCCAAATCCACGGCTGCTATGCTTTAGCGATGGAGCATTATCCTAGCTGCCTACAACTACGATATTCTGGATCGACTGGGCAAGATAATTCCACAACCGGACTTCCTGTAACGATATTCAAGATTTGAAGCTGCAGGTCGGTGCCATTTCATTTCACTGACCGCGCCAGTGTCCAGGAAGAAAATCCAGGAAGCAGACAAAGCGCTACTACTCGTCAGTGATTTCGACTATCAAGGCGAGGTTGCAGCCCGAGGTGAAGCCGAAGAATCCCCAATCCTAAATGCTGCGAGAAGAATTCAGCATAAACCAGATGAAGTCCCTTGTCATCGCGGCCGGCTTGTCAAACCACCTCCTTTCCGTAAGTCGGCTCTGGATGAATTGCAAAATTCCATTTGGGCGTGAAGAAAATCAGCTCACTGGCTAGAAAGATGTGTTAGTTAGATCCCGTAGTGAATTGGAGCAAACAAGAGAGAAGACGTGTGCTGCGAGAGGAATTCCTTCCATAAACCCTCATCGGTCGCGAAAGCATAACATTACACGGAAGTCATGAAACGAGTTGCTCAAAAATGTGACATTAATTTGTACAGGTGTGTGTGTATGTATGTCGAAGTCTGTGTGGTTTGTTGCTGCATGATTGGCTAAAACCATGATAGGTTAAGGGTAAATTCCAAACTTTTTTGAACGCGCAATGTAGTTCTAAGCTGGCTGATCGTTTACACCTCTAGTATTCTTTGGTTGTGTGGATCACGGTGGACGACGGAGATGTGAATGCAGTTTTGTCACAGTGTCGAAGGATGTAGATGATATGCTCATTTGCCTACTGTGGAAAGGAATAAAGGAGTCCGGGTAGCCATTATCATGCAGAGTGGCGAGAAGATTTTCTGTCTCATTTGTGGGAGTATCCTCGATACGTATTTTGCTAACCCCGAAGAACAGGGTTCTAACTAGTGCGGGTTTGTGTCCCGTAGGGGAGAAACTACCAAAGTGAAGGTATGGTCCGGGCCATGTTTCTTTGCAAAACACTGAGAGTTGGATAGAACCATCCGGTATTTGTGTCATTATCGCATCCAAGAAGGCTAACGAATTGTCGTCATCTGTTTCACAAGTGAGTTTAAGCTCGAATGGGCTGCTTTAAGTTTCTCCAATATTGACTGAGATCATCAGGCTTGTTCAGCACAATGAATCTGTCACCTACGTACCTTTTGTAAAAAAAAAACGGTCCCTTTGATTACCGCATTCAACCCCATTTCAACCGTTCCCATAAAAATGTCTGTCAGGATGAGGCCGAAGGGACTACCCATGGCAACTCCGTTAACCTGTCTGCAAGCTCTTCCTTGAAAATTGAAGCGAATGTCGTCTGAGCTCAGAATAATTAGGGGTTTGAGAATGTCCGACGGTAAAACCAGCCCGATCTTCTCTTTTGCCTAAACTCACAAATGGAAAATAAGGTTTCATGTGGAGGTACACACACACACACACACACACACACACACACACACACACACACACACACACACACACACACAAACAAACAAACAAACAAACACGCATTTGTACTAATTTTTGCCACCTTTTCGGGCAACACATTTCATATTCTGTGTGTGATGTTATGTGTTCACGACCGATGAGAGTATACGAAAGTAATTCCTCGCAGTATTTCTATTCTGTCTTTTTTGTTCAGATGTGCTAGTGGCGAAATTGGATGCAGACATCTGCACTACGCCAAATCACTGCGACGTGTGGCTGTCCAAAGTCAAGTCGAGACCAAACAACAGCAACCCTTGGCTCGTAGTTTGCATCCCGTGGCGGAGGAAGACCGACATCTGTGGCCCATTCCAAGACGGAAGCCAATCCTTAAGGCTGATAGAATCATACTCCAAATGGCCGGAGGTGTTCCTGAGGATTACACATACTACTTTGTTCGCAGCTGATGCGTTACAGAAGAGCTTCAGTCGGGAGGGAATTCCACAAGTGCTGGTGACCAATAATGAGTCACAGTTCTGTAAAAAGCGGCTGAAAAAGTCGGATATCGGCATCTGCGTACTACACCATACTACCCGTGCTCAAAAAGTGCCACAGAATTTGATGCGCCCAGTCAAAATTCTAGCAGCATCAACCAACTCGAGAAGGTTGTCTGACTCTGAGGCGTTCCTCAACAACTTCCTGCTGCAAAACCAAAATGCGGTGCATGCAACCACCAAAGAAAGTTCGGCTATTTTATTCAAATCGAGAAGACTACAGTCATCACTGATATGTCTTGATTCCAGTGGTGTCACATACTTCCATGACAATTAACTTTGACCAAATCGCGGAATCACCGCCAGACAACTTTATCAGTCTATGGTTGTGATTACAGATCGGAATGATTCATCAGCGACATCTCAGCCAAATTCACGTTAACGTGTCGACCGAAGACTGAACGGCAGTTGTGTTGAAGTCAATGGTCCACCTGCTCCGCTGTTGGGGACCCATGTTGTCAATTCCTTTTTAATTCAAATAAAATGGTTTCAAGTAGTTGTTTAATTTTATTTTCAAAATGTTCCTTTCATTTCAGAATAACCTTACGCGTTTCTTTCGTCGTCCTGTTTGTTATGCCCGTCAGGTGACCGAATGTCATCCACAGGCAATACCACCGGATCCGAGGACTTCGGAGCTGCTGTGCGAACCCGCGAAAGGTTTCAAAGTCACAAAGAAAGGTAAAGTCTATTTATTCCACTAGCGTTATCACAGGCAACATACCCATTCGCTTGCCAGACTCCTAAATCGACACCCTTCTTGCGGGCGGTCTTCTAGAAGGGGGCCTCTATAGTGAGCAGCCGATCACACCCTGTCTAGTACTTGTTTGACGGTACGTTTCGCGTACGCGACAACCGCAAGCGCTACTTCCAACACATTTTCTCGGCGCACGCCAGGGTGTGGTCTCTGTACTCCGGCCCCGTGAGAATGCACGCGGTTGGCACTTCACGGTCTTTTCTCGTTGATTTCCTCGACGAACACGATAGTAGAAGCTGAGGGAGAGTACCCTCCAATAAGTTCTAAATTGAAGCGATTCGGATACTTTCTCAGTTCAAACGTTACGAATAGTGCTTTGGTCCAAACTCGTTTATGTATAAAAGCTATTAGTGGATAAGGTAATCACCAATTATAAAGTGACCCAGATGTAGCTGCACGATTCGACTGTCAAGGCTCGACTTTACCTTATTAGTTGGATGCTGGAAAGGAAGCTGCAGCCCATTGGACCGCATGCAGAAGCGTTCGAATCAATACAGGGAGCCTTGATGCAGCATAGCGCGCTCCGAAATCATAGCATATTTGCTACTGTTAGTTCTTAACATTATTAAAACGGCTCTTCTCTGTTCACGTGGCTTCCTAATGGTGAGTAGAGCATTATTAGTGTGTCCTACATTACTTCGAACTACTGATACTTCAGCGTTTTTGATGGTTTCTGTTGTTTCATATTATTCGAAAGCAATTTCTCATCCTTACGTTTTGTCCATTTACGTCTAGTGATGTGGACAAAGAACACAACTACCAGTCGGGTCAGAAGTATACTTGAAATTCAAACATGAGTCATCAATGCTATGGTAGTATACACTGGAGATTCTGTCGAAATAACAGAATGAGTTGGTCAACCGTGGAATGGTGGCTGAAGTGTACCTATGTGGAAAGCGATTCGGTTGCCCGGCTACGCTAATGTAGTACTGAGCAGTGGCATACTAGCTAGACAATTTTTATTGCAAGTCTGTTGACCGTGGCAGTCTATAAGACATGTCTATTTCCAAATCGTTGATTTCAGTTTGGTCGTCGAGATACCACACTAACAGTTTCTTAGTGGTACCGATCGCTTGAACAAAATGAGCATCTCCCAGACACCATTTAAACCTCTTCCCTCAAAATTTACCCTGACGCTTGATTTTGGCAGTGTTGCTCTAATATACGTCATACATGCATTCTGATGAACTTAAAACGAATAAACTTCCACCAAGTTCACTGGAACTTTGCAGCCATATCTTACTGTTGCTTTCATTGTGGTTTGCCGTATAAATATTGGTCGCATCGTCACTAAGCTGGTACCGCCATACATACACTGTACCCGTTTTGTACCGTCTCACTAACTCTAGTGAGAACCCAACTCTGCCTCAGAATAGTCTCGCTTTATTAGCAAAAAAACTGAATGTACAGGTTGTTGTCATGTTTCCCTACTTGCTGCACGCAACGCATTGGTTTGACTTGTGTGGGCGACCACACCTTGAGGCTTCAACAACGCTCGCAAGATTCATCGCTCATCTATCGGTCCACTCCATCGATCGGCTGTCTTGCCACTCGAGATTCCGTTGTCTCAAGCCTTGCGCTTAGTACGGCACCATTACGGAATTCCAACGTGGCTTGGCTGTCCGCCAACGCTGGTTTAACACGGTCACTCAAACATCCTTAATATCTTTTTACCAACACAAGTCTTCTCTTGCCTGTGGACTTCGGGAATTCCTCGAGTATTACGCCCCGTAATCACGTAGAGGACTTTTTCGTAGATCAACAGTCGTTTCCTGTTGATTTCGATTGCATAGAAAACAAACGGGCGATGTGGATTACCGTTATCAAACATTTCAAACACTGTTCAATGCGACGTTTTTGCTCAAATCTCTTACTTCAGATACATTTCAGTCATGATTTACTGAAATGCCGATCTGAGAACTATTCTAGAGACGCCTGACCAAAGTTGTCGGTTTCCAAGTTTTGTTGGCGTAGATTCTGAGCGTAATTGCCTTTACACACTTATAAATACTAAAACATTATTTTCACTTCCTTCCTTATTTATTATGCAACAATTTGCAACAATTCAGGAAGAGGGCCGAGGCCAAAGAAAGGCTGCCTAGTAGGAAAGTGACCGGTGGTGATGGGAATCAAACCCGGGTCGTTGTTGTCCAAAGTCCATGAGGATAACTGTTTGACCATCGCCGGTTAGGGAACTACAAGCAGAGTAAAGAATCCCAATAGTGTTTTGTTTAATACGTCGATTTGAACGATTACACACACGGCCCGGTACGCTGTCGCTTCATTTCCAGAATCCAACCTATTAGGAGAAGTCGGACCTTGACAATCAGGTCGTCCAACTACACTGATGTCAATTTATGATTAGTTAAGACGTTATCTGTCAATAGTTACATACTTTCTTTTACATACAAACCAGTTTGTACCGGTCAGCTCTTATCTAGCTAGCTTTTGTTGAGTGTACGAACTATTCCATTACGTTCGATCGGCCAAGTACATTCAGTTCTCACTTTCATAAATCATTGTTACTAGGAAACCGTTTCGGTATGCACTAAATAAACCACACATAAATATTCATTTTACTCATAAAATGATTCCTTTAGGGTGTCCTGATGATGACAGATATGCCTTGCTGGTTTCCACGGTCAGCAGGCATGCAAAAAAATAGTCTAGCTAATATGCCACTGTTCGTTACTACGTTGGCGTAACTGGGCAACCGAATCGCTTTCCACATAGGTGCACTTCAACCACCGATCCACGGTTGACCAACTGACTCAGTTATTTCGACAGAATCTCCAGTTTATCCTAACGAACAATGAAAGACTCGTTCGAATATCAACCCTTCATACGTTTTCTGAGTGTTCCTGGGTAGGGGCATAACCACAGGTACCTGAGATAGGTGATTGCGTTTATTCCGTGTGGTACGACAGAATCAGTATCCCGTACCAACGCTCTACTCACCATTGAAAAAAATGGAAGTGATGTTTAGTTAATTCTTCTGTTAAAGCCGATAACTTAAAAATATGAACGACATAAGTACGGAACTATGATTTATCGGAAATTCAAAACGAACGTGATGCTTAGTACCTGTGACCTCAGCATGATACATGGGCGAACGTGATTGACCAACTGAGAGCCAATCAAAACAAAACAAGCTGGGCGATACTGATCTATCGATTGAATGTCAGCTGAACAAAAGAGCAACGACAAATAGGGCATTACGAAAACAGTGTTTGACAACTGTTTATGCGAATGCCTCTGTAATATCTTCTTTGTTAGGAATCCTTAGCGGTACAGAAACCCGCCGAGCCCCCTGTAGGACTCGAACTCTGGGTACATGACTGCGAATGACACGTTACCGTTAGTCTGTCTTGGTTGGCCCTCGACAGTGTTTCACGTTCACCTAAATTGTATTGCACCCTTCCGTCACTGCCTTAGAACCGTAATAGCTCATCGCCCGCGCAGCGAACGACTCCTATGATGAACGTCTTCTCCTTTGCGTTAGTAGATTTCATTAAAAGATGATTTGCATCCGCGGTTAGCTGACAACCGTTCGAATGAGCCATTCTGCAGCAATCTGACTTCACCCCTTTGAAGTATTTTAATAAGCCTATCATCATGAATAGTGTTCCCGAACCTTATTTCGGACAAGTTTCACAATGGTTAGCCGATGATCTGGAAGGTCGATTATGAAATCTCTTCATCCCACGATGAGTTTGTGGTTCTTCAGAACCAGTAATCAGCAGAGAGTTGTATTTTGTCCTTGAAAAAAGCGTTATCTATGCTTGCAAGTAACACCCATTCAACTTCATGAATACTGTTGTTATTGGAATTTGGCAGACTAGACAAATTTTTGAAATGACCCAAATATTAAAAGTCGTTGACTCCAGCGGGATTCGAAAGAATGCATATTTACCGCCCACGCTTTAGTACCGTGGGAGCCCTGCCAATTAAGCTGAGGCCATGCCGAAGAGCTTCTGACTTCTCCCCGGGATTAACGACTTTAAACATTTGGGTCATTTCGAAAAAGTTGTTATTAACAAATGTAAGCTTGAACATAGAAGTCAATAGCATTAGATTGCACGGTGTATTCCGGACCATTTCGCTGCATCTTCACTAGTGCATACTGCAGTCAAGGTGATCATTTATAAATGGTAAATTGAACGTTCTCATGAGATCAAAGGCAAAAGTGCACACACACACACACACACACACACACACACAACTAATGGTAGCAAATAAAAACGCGTTACCAAGGCAAGGCTAACGTAATTATCCATTCTCGCTATTTGCACAGTTGAGGGTGACGTTGGTTAATTGCTAATGCCTCCGCGTATCTCAATAATCATCGATTGTTTGTGACATAAGTGACGGTGAACGCCGTGCTCAGATTAACACAGTGGTTTGTCTCCCACACGTGTTTCGTAATGGATGACCTGAGTGTTCTGCGTGCGTTCGATGACGTCACTGATTGTATCTGTCCGCTCATTGTTCTTTGTAACCAAACCGGAATATGTTCAACCATTCTATTACGCAGTTGTCTCTCCGTTCTGCCGATGTAGGTGGCTGAGCACCCACACTTAAACTGGTAAATGCAATTTGACTTGGCGTGGAGAGGCAGCGGTTCTTTTATCGATGGTAGTTTCATCCGGGAGGTTGTATAGAGAATGATGATCTTTGCGGCATAATACGTACGATTAACAGCACAGTTGAGGCGTCTGCTGATTAGGGTATTAATGTCATCACATTTGTAAGGTGACTGTAGGTAGGTTTTGGGACTGTGGTAACTTTCGTTTTGCGCGGTGGTGGCTGTAAGGGCTTGGATACAAATGATTTTGGATATCCGTTGGCCTCGAAAGTTTTGAACAAGATACGGCACTCTTCTTCCAGCGTGTCACTTGTACATATTTCGTGTGCCCTGTGGAACATGGCGCGGACGAGGCTGATTTTGTACTTTATGGGGGCAAAGCTGGTGAAGTGTAGATACTGTCCTGACCACGTAGTTTTGCGATGGACTGATCTTCGGATTGCTTCACCGATTCGGCGGGTAATTTCAATATCTAGGAATACGATTTTGTTGTTGTCTTCCCCGTTTTTGGTTAGTTGAATGTTTGGGTGTATGGTGTTGAAGTGGTAGAACATTTTTTCACACTCGTCATTCGTGTTAGCAATGATGAATATAGCGTCGATAGAGAGTGGCCTGAGCTATGATTGATTTCATAACTAACGTCATCCTCAGCTGTGCAAATAGCGAGAATGGATAATTACGTTAGCCTTGCCTTGGTAACGCGTTTTTATTTGCTACCATTAGTTGTGTGTGTGTGTGTGCACTTTTGCCTTTGATCTCATGAGAACGTTTAATTTACCATTTATAAATGATCACCTTGACTGCAGTATGCACTAGTTAAGATTCAGCGAAATGGTCCGGAATACATCGTGCAATCTAATGCTGTTGACTTCCATGTTCAAATTTGTGTCGCGAAAGTTACGCTTTCAAATGTAAACTTGTTGTGATCAGTACCTCGAGTTTTTTCCCCTATAGAAAACTGGTCCAGTGTCGTGCTACATTATGGTGCTGCAAGACTGCTTTTCTTTGAAAAATATTGGAAATTGACTTGTGAATTTTGATTGACTGGACCAACTACTCACAGCTGTCATATCCGTTCAGAAACGGTTAATATGCTCTGGCTGTTCTGTGTTACAGTTTCTTCACAACTGACGCATTTTGCTAAAAATTGGGTAACAAACGATATGGTTAACAGTCATTCAGGCCACTTAGAATTTTGCTGACTGTTGTGCAAATGATCGCTTCCGTTTGAGTTAACCAAAGAAGAACTATTGATTTCTTATGTTACATGTAAGCACGATCTCAAGACGCATCAAAATTTTTATGCACATTCAGTGACAAGCGAACTGTGGAGCGCTCTAGTGTAGGGATGATTGGGCAGGAGAGTACAGGATACGTATACCTGACGGATGGCAACATCCGTGATACCGGTCGTGCTTCGGGGAGAATTTCGTTCTGTCATCCAGATACAATATTTTACTGCTTACATAAGAATCGAAAATCGGGACTGTGTCCTCGTTCTGAAAATTGGCCTTTGCTAACCGATCAAATAACTTTCAAAGGATCAACTTATGATCCTAAAAATGGACTCTACGTCCGTCCACGCTCCTTAAAATTCAAATGTGACTAAAAGGATTGGTCAGGCTTGCCTGCTCTTCTTATACCAACCCAGAATGTTGAACATACTGAAGCCGTTCCTGTCCGGAACTACACATACCCAGAATCGAGAATACATCTCTGCTTCAGTACCATCTCATTTTATTAATGGAAAAAGGATAGCTTACTCAGGGTGCCAAGTGACCGCAGTCTAGAACATTGTCCGAAGCATGTTGTTTGAGAATTTTTCTCTTAATCGGGTCTTCTGGCTAATCTTTTAGTTACAAACCCGATCGACTGACTTCGTTCCGTTCGGTGAAAATGACTGTTTGGGGGATGATTGGATGATTTCGCTGTTTTGACATGAACTGATTGTGCCATCGACCCGCTTCGCTAGACAAAGCTTGCTATTGATCTTGGACAGGCGATAACCGAACGGAACTGGGTCGTCTGTCGATGCGCCGGCCGATACCCTCATAGGTTTACACACTGCCTTGGCCAAACACCCAGCTGAAAATTCAGTTGCGCTGATGCAACATGATAAACAATCACTTCTTTCGACTGTGTCCCAAGTATCATTTATTCGCGATGCGCCCTATGAGAACCGGGTCGTTTGCTAAAGCCTCCTTATAACAAATCCTTCCCACCTTTGAGATCATACACCCCACTGTGTTCATCTCACGTTCAGTCTCGAGGCTTACTATTAAACGTTCCCCAATTTCTCCCCTTAGAACAGAACATAGGTCGCCCATATCTGAGGTGATTTTCGAAGCTAGGGATCGTTTTCGCAATTCTTTCTAACTCTATTACAAATGGACCCGCAAGGAACTGATACTCTATCGTTACCCCGCTCTGTTGTATTTAAAACGATCCTTCGAGAAAACAACAATGATTGATCCATCACTTGAACCAAGCAACACACGTGGCTCAGGAAATAAGCACTAATCTTTTTCACAAACAAAATACACCAGACCGTTTTCAGACAAAATAAAAACATGTGCGCTTCCGCGTTGGTTTTGTAAGTTAAAAATAAAAAAACAAAGATCGCTGTCTTCCTCACTATTACTTGCATAAAAAAACGACCACACTATGCAACAATCGCCCAGGGATTGGCGAACCACGTGATATATTCGTCCGTAAACAGTGGCGATTTTGACCGCACGCGATAGCGGGATGATTGACAATTGACTTGATTCAGAAAAAACAAGTACAACATTATTGCCCTAGTTACCTGGCGCAGGTAATTTGATCGGAGAGACTACGTCATCGTCGGCGGGACATACTGGCACGGCGATAAGATATGCAGACATTCGTTTGCCTGCCACGGGATGAACGAAAACACCACCATTCCCCGACTGAACTAATCGCATGTGTTCGTGCATCCGATGGCCCTAGCCGAAAACGGTACATCGGCCAATTGGACGCCGGACTGGTTTTTGCTAACGGGCTCACCGCACAGATCGTTGAATGAGGTGGCGATCTGCACGACACGGGTGCGCTGAGGTGCGCTCGTTCGCGTTTTCCTCTTCCAACAGCTGTTATTCCGTCTAATGGATGAAGTGCATAAAACTCTCAACCAATGAGAAACAAGAGAAGCGGACAGACGATCGTTTTCCGCACGCGTGCGTGCTCTCACATGCTTGGTTGTTCGCTTGTGTTGATCGTGGGTGACACAGGTAAGTCTGTCTCCCTCTACAGCGAGAGATGGAGGGACGGACCCACCACACCTGTCATTTTGCCCACTCCATCAACCCACAAACGACTTCCCTTCGTTCCGCGCAGATCGGTTGGGTGATTGATTCACATAGTACTAGTGCCCAAGACCCGGCCACCCACGCACGGAAGAACACACCCCGCCGAGGATTAAACGATTTCGTCGGACACAGTCCAACCGACCCTATTCTATTCTCTATCCTAGGCTATCCAGCCCAGCGCCAGTCTCGGCCTCGCGTTGACATTGAGTCAGAACAGCGAATATCCACCGACAGCCACCTTGGTAATCGAACTGTGCGTGGCGGATAGATTCCACTGTGTAGTTTTCCGAGCAGTTTTTCCTCTGATTTCCAAGGATTTCTGACCGCAGTCTCAGTGTGTCATTGGTGTCCCGATTTTTATTTCCACAACCCTGTTGAGAACAATCTCAATTATCAACTTTCTCGTCAGATTTTCAACGTCTCGGTAGCATTTCCGTTCGCTGACCCAGAGGAAGACCGTGATTACTTTGTGCACCTTCTGTTTTGTGTGCCCAAGTCGAAAGAGGGAAAATGGGTTGTACGTTGTCAAAAGAGGAGCGTGATGCTCTTGAGCAGAGCAGAAATATCGATAAGAAGTTGAAAGAGGACGGCATGCAAGCCGCCAAAGATGTGAAACTGTTGCTTTTGGGTGAGCTTACTTTTTATCGGAATCTGTTGGTGACTGGTATTTTACGCTAAGATGTTCACGTTTTCTACAAAAAGTAACGATTCATGAAATGAATAACAGAAAACATACTATGTAGAAAATGGAATATTTCTCCTGAATGTTGTACTTGTGTTCATCATACATAAAATGTGACTGTGAAAGTTGTTCCATGGCTGCATACCAGAGCAACTTGGTCAGTTTACTTTATCTAGAAATTAACAATTAGGGGGTCTTTGCATCCTTCGTTTATTGTTCAACGACAGGTGCGGTGATCGATCGGTAATCATGATGGACACTGAGCTCTTCTGTTCCCGGTTCGAGTCCTGCTTCGGCCGCTGCCGGTCACTCTCGCCAGTTCCCTAAATATGCGTCATTGTGTTACAATAAAAGGAAGTAAATAAAATGACAAATTATATTCCTGTTAGGGGTACGCAACCGAATGCAGGCAGTCAAATGGGGAGCTGACCGATGAAAGCAAGATTCGAACGCGAGACCGAAAGGCTTAAAGGTCAACATAGTGACCACTTGTCTCCATAACTTGTGCCACTAGGGGCTTTGAACTATGACCTTGACATCTGGAGTAAATGGCCATACGGAATCCAAATAAGTCAAAGGTCCTAACGAATCACGTGACGTCGGACTCCTGTCTATCAGTTAAACACTAAATGCGAAGTCGAAGCTAATTGGAAAAATGATCCTTATAAACCTTCCGAACTGTGTTCAAAACTTACGTCATAGTTGGTTCATTTTACGCCTGAATTTTCTACAGATGCGTTGAACATATGGAAAACCGTTTTGGCTGGTTGTTAGTTCTTTTATATTCGCAATGAGAAAAAGTTGTCATCATCCAGCTCAGTTTGAGGGATCATGATGCAATTGTCTGGATCATCCGTGGAGGACAACTTTCCGAATTATTATTTGGAGCTTGTAGACTCCCTTCAAAGTATTGATATTACTAATGCGCTGTTTCTACATTCATTGTTCGTCCACTAACTCGGGTGTTCTTTCCAATTTCGATCAAGATTCTGCTGATGATTGGTTCGTCACTAAGATACGAACACGTGTGGGAATCGATAGCTGCTATTCATTTACGGGAAGATGACTGGAGTTCGGCAAAGTAACCAGCGAAATTCGATAGTCGATCGTGCATTGTGCTGTGCATATCATCTCTCGGTCTGTGAATATCGCTACGGTTCTTTTGAACTCTCTTTTGTTGGTTTGTGCTGTGTAGTGACTCTATCGCAATTCCTTTCAGCACTAATTAATATTAATTCCTTTTCTTTCATCGAGTTCTAATGAACTTAGCGTTTCAAAGTGTAGGATCAACGTGGACCCCATTCGGTAGCAGCCGTTCGTAACATCGGTTTTCGGTCGGTTTGTTTAGTAGCCATTTTACACGGATCAACATTGAATTCATATGAAGGAAATCGACGACCGAATGCTTGGTTGGCGTTTTGTTTAAATGTATTGGTTTAATTCATCAAAATGTCCTTAAAACCTCCATATAGATCGCTCTATTTTATTCCCTTGAAATGGACAAAATAAGGACAAGTAATCGGAAAATCATAAATTAGGAGATAGAAATGAACATGGTAGAAAGTGATTTGGGAAAAGTGAAAGAAATTACCGAAGCATATCACGCATTTCAAACGGTTGGCACAAACCGGCCGAAACCGGTAGGTTTTTGGCCGGTTTTCGAACGATTTTTACTATTACGCCGATCGGTTTTCGAGCGGTTTCTGAACGATTTCCGAGCAGTTTGTGCCAATCGTTTGAAATGCGTGATACGCTTAGTTAATTTCTTTCACTTTTCCCGAGTTACTTATTACGGTGTTCATTTGTATCTCCTAATTTATGATTTTTCGATAATTGTCCTTATTTTACCAATTTCGAGGGAGTAAAAAAGAGCGATCTATATCGAGGTATTTCGATAAATCAAACCAATACATTTAAATAAAACGTCATCTAAGCCTTGCACATTACTCCGGTCGTCAATTTCCTTCGTATGAATTCAATGTTGATCCGTGTAAAACGGCTGCTAAACAAACCGATCGGTTTCGGAGTGGTTTTGCTACAAGGGTCTTTCTCCCCACTAATCCTAACAATGTCCTAGCACGAAGTGTACGTTTCAATCGGTTTGCCCAATCCGGCTAAGTTCATATAGGAAGTATCTTTCCTTACGTATATGGCACAGCGAGAGTCACATGCGACTATGGCGTGATGTTGCTGTTGCAATGGATGGTATTGACTTCAAGGCCTGCATTTTGTTCGGCAGAATTTATGACGATACAATACAGTGGAATCGTGATTGATTGTTCCCAATGGCCAGTGGTGGTCGAGTGGTTAGGAAAGTGAAACTGCCACCGCCGGTCACTTTGGTGGTAGACAGTATTCCACTGTCGTCCGGCATGTGACCGCACCTGACCTTTTGGGACCTTATGTGGTTCTCTGCCATTGCAAGTTCCATGGTCAGATTTTTTTATTGCATGGTCGCGCATGAGTACAGTGTAAGAGGTGTACAGCGTTAAACAGTAGGGCAAGCCCCACTAACCACCGCCTTTCTCACCATGTGGCACGTTGAATAAGAAAGTATGAATATACAGGATGGACAGGGAGTGGACCTACACGGGTGCGAAAAAGGAAAGAACGCCCTGACAGCCAACACACGGAATACACAGCCTCACTGTACAAACGTACATCGACCAATCGTTCTGATTTGACAGAAAATGACAACACGATCGCCACTGTTCGTGGTTCGCCGCAATATCTTTTAGTGTCCCCAGCCAACTGGTTGAGGGATCTTTTGGACCCCAACCACGAATACGTGAAGCACCTACTTCTCCTAAGTCTGCTGTACATTTCCTCATTCCTCGCTGCCACATAATCTGTTGACCTCCACATGGTTTCTTCCACTCCTGAGGAAGAAAGGAAAATAGGGCACAGTGCTGTAGACGTGTGTCTGCCATACGTAGCGCGTGCCCTCACCAACGAAGCCTACTAACCTGGATACGCTATGATACAGAACTACCTGAAGTGGTACCCCATACCCGATTTCTGACTTCAGTATTGCTTGCTCGGTCATTCTATCCAATCTTAGCGATACTACGCAAGCATTGTCGAAAACTTCAAGACGACGAATATCTTCCGCATGCAGACCCCAAGTCTCGCAACAATACAGCAGAACTTAACGCATTGCCGCACAGTACACGTGACCTCTTAGCTTCAGGGAAATATCAGGTCGGCGCCACAAGTGCTTCAATCCAGCGTACGCCCCTTGAGCTCATCTCTACTACCGTGTTCCCATCCGTCGTCACGCTGCTTCCAAGGTAACTTAAGCGGTCAACAGTTGTTGGCACCTCCCCATTGAGCATCAAGCTTGGAATCCTTGACGTCCAGTCTTGGAACATCACTTTTCACTTTGGAGGTGCAAAGAGCATGCCGGGTGGAGCTACAACTCTCGCAAGTCTATCTAGTGCACGTTGAGCATGTTCCGTTCATTCCAACACGTAGACAAGGTCATCTGCGTGAGCTAGGTCACACAGCTTCTCAGTATTTCATATTTCGATGCCCACATCCTGGAGATCACCCAAGGCATTCTCCATTATCTCGTCCATGACGAAGTTAAGCAAGAATGGAGAAATTAGACATCCCTGTCGAACACTGCTGGTCCTTTCGAACCGACCGGATAGTTCACAGTAATCCCTTACGCGGCCAGAAGTATGGGAGTACAATGACCTCAGTAGATTCACAAACTTCTGGGGCATACCTTTTCGCTGAAGAGCACTGAAAAGCGCTGTTCGATTGGCTCGATCGAAGGCGTCCTTCAAGTCAAGGAAAACCATTCTTGTCGGTCGGCGGTGTGTGTGACGCGCCTCAAGAATTTGACGGAGAGTTAAAATCTGATCGATGCATCCTCGACCTGGGCGGAATTCGGCCTGTTGTTTGTGGGCGTTCCTCTCGCGAGCAGGTGTGAGACGACGCAACAAAATCGAGGCTAATACCTTGGAGATCATCGGAATCAAGCTAATCCCACGATGATTACTACAGTCGTTTCGTATTCCCTTCTTGAAGATGGTTATAATCAATGACTCACCCCATAATAGCGGGATACGTTCTTCGTTCCAAATGTCCCGGATCAATGTGGTAAGTGATTTTATCAATGCACCACCACCCATTTCGAAAAGAACTGAGGAAAGTTCGTCGGAACTGGCCGCTTTTCCTCGTTTTAGTAATCGAATGCACGACTCTACTTCTACTTCCAATGGGGGTTCACGTGATACTCCCCAAGGAATTGCAGTTGTTGACGTCGGACTAACTACATTAGCGCGTAGCCAGCTAAACTGCTCCTTGAAGTATTCGACCCAACGGTCGAGCCTTTGCTCTTTACCATGAATGTGCTCTCCATTTCTATCGCATATCGTTTCGCTGACTGGGGTTTGCCATCCACCGGTGTCGCGAATACGTCTGAAAAGTCTTTATCTGTTACCTAAAGCAGCTGCTATTTTCATTTCTTCGGCTACCTTGACCCACCAATATTTGCGACCATTCCTAAAGCTTTTCGTAACCTGCCTTTGTAGTTTTCTACATATCTTATTCATCTCACTGTTCGAGAACAGACATTTTTGCTCTATCAGCCTGATCGACTCTTGCGAAATCCAGTGTCTTTGATAGACATCGGATCTGGGACCATAGGTGAAACCTGCTGCCACGTGCATTGCCTGCTGGATATGGGCCCGATGCTCATCTACATTACTGTTCGTCGTAGATCCTAGCTCATGTGCTAATTTTTGTTCATAACGGTTGCGGACCTCTGGATCAAACAAATGCTGCACTGCTAACCAGGTTTGCGGTTTGCGTCAATGACCATGGAGATGGAGAGATAATCGCATTAAAACTAACGCATGGCCAGACTCTACGTACGTGGTCCTGTCCGCGAGGAAGCTGGGTGGCTGAGTGGAAGCCCATTTGCTTTGACCAATTAT